TGCATACCCAATTTTCTCCTTTATTTAAGCATGCTTCTATGGATGTCCATTACCAAAGGGAAGATAAACATGTTATTTAACCTTCAATGGATGTCCACTTTTAGTTTATAAAACTCGCGTTCTTCTTGAAGAGGTTATTGTAAGTAATGATATCTGATTGTCACATATAGTTAGTTGTGGACTTAGCTAACATTCTTTTTCTTGCTGTATGATGTGATATTACCCCTGGAGTTTACAGGGGAGGAATCAAAATATTGTTGGTGATGCATTTTTTCTCTAGGGGATGCAAAAATTTAGGTGGATTATATATACGGGAGCTAAATTATGATGCATTTGATTCCAACTCAGTTCCTGCCTCTAATTTTTATAACGGCCTTTGTATGTATAGTTACAGTGTAACTTATTGTATTTGAGCTATCATGGCCATTGTATTGAACTCCTTGATGGTAGGAAATCAATTTCTACAATCCAATGTAGGAGTTCAATTTCCACAATCATAGTATCCAATATGGTGGTGATGATAACTCAAACACAAAAATCACGTTATTATGCATATTAAGACGAATATGAAGATCAGAAGTATGAATTATTAGGAATTGGATGAGAATTAAAACAAACATAGGAAGGGGGTTTTAATGGTGCAGATCAAGTGATGTCAAACTTTTGTCTTCGTAGTTTGAAAGTGCAATCTCTTGACTCCCTGGGTATAACTATCATCATATCGAACTAATTACTTGTGAAAGACTAACTGGTAGGGAAGCCCAAACACCTAAAATCGATATTGTAGCCTACTTGGGGCACTTCCTCTATTATTCACGATTTTTGATTTCATATGGATGTGTATGTATATGGTATTTGCTATGAGAATTAAGAGCAATAGCAGAGAGAGTTATTGGGTGCTATTTAGCAGAAAGGTAAGTTGTTTGTGGGTTAGCATGTACTTCTCCTTGTTGCATTTTCATTGGCTACAACATTGTTCATTTGCTCAATCGCTTTTCTTTTATGCTGATAATTATATTTTTAAAACAGGTGAGGAGAATAATGGAGGGAAATCATCGGATGGGAATGGTAGAATACTGTTGTTATTACTTTTTCTTTTTCTATAATTTACATTGGATGGACGAAACAGTTCTCAAGTATTTCCAGCTCCGGATTGTTATTTTTATTTGTAGGTAACTACTGATCCCGCAACAGGTTCAATTGCTGATTTTGCCTGTGAAGTGGAGATCACTGAGTAGGTGTTTCAGACCATTTTATTTGTTTCAACTTTAGTCTTGCATACATACAAATAAGTCTCTATGGTTTCACCTTTTATTCCTGTAGGTGCGAGCCACTTCCAGATGGACGCTTCGTCCTTGAGGTGAACTACCATCCTTATTTCTATGTTTATACTGTCTGCTCGCCTTACTCAAGCGATATGTGTGACTCTGCATGGTTAGCACCTTTTTGAGTAACTCGGATGTTTGATTGGTACCTTAAATTTAGATTGAAAGTCGCCGGAGATGTCGTATCCTCAGATCTTGGGACCAGGATGGGTAAGCAATTTTATGATTCTGTTCATCAGTTTAACATTTTCAGTATATTTATATGATCTACATTATCTGATTTCATGAGTTTAGCTCAATATCCTTATAACTTTCAGGTACCGAGTCGCTGAGGTTGAATGGGTACAAGATATACCCCCAAGTACTGAAGGAGATAGAACAGATGTATAATTTTTTTCCCCTTCGATGCACTTTGTTGTCTGTGCTTTAAAATTTCCACGAGGATATTAAGAATCTCTGAGATTATTAGGATTTCAGGATTTGGGACACATAAGGAAAAATGTGCGGCTCTGTAACTGCCTGGGAGTAATCTGTTAAGTTGGTTTTTGATGTACTTGGTTATGAATGCATATATTTTCTAGATGAAGAAACAATAATCTTGCTCTCCAGAACAAATTCATCCTTAAGTTTACAATGTCTTGGGTTTGACATGAAGGCCTGACAAATAAAAAACTTGTATTAGATATTATTTTAAAATTGAACTAGATTAGAGTATATTTATTTTGTCAATTTTCACAAATAGTTCTATTGCTCTTTTTCTCTCTGAACAAGTTTTGCTTTAAGGCACTCTTGTGCTTATAAAGCTTTAACTTCTGAATGTTTCTTGCAATAAGAGTGTGAAGATATGAGCATTGAGTGCCCCATATCATGTTTGATACTTATTATACTTTTGTGCGACAACAGTTGCTGGAATTGACAAGTAATGCAGCGGCATATGCTCAGTCATGGTTAACGACAGCAAAACAAGCGGCTAGACAAGGTAAGGTCCAAGCTAGATGCTGTGCCGTGATCTATTGTTGCTCTTCTGATGCTTGATTGGATGGCACTATAATCTCAGTTCTCTGTGAGAAAATCTTATTTAATCAGTTCTGAGTTTCATTGTTATTATCCTATTTTATCTTAAATTGGGAGATGAGGGAACTAATATGGGTAAGAACTGAGAATTTTTGCATACCAAAATCCATTATTACTAGAGATGTTTGATTAAAATCTCATTTTTAAATGGTTAATTTGTTTTGGGGTTTGTGATTACTATAGCTGAGTCTAGGCAAGATGAGATGCATATTTTTGTGTTCACGCTGTACAGTCTGTCTGCCACTTTCATTCTTGAGACTTGAAATGCAACTTTGCAATTGGAAACTTGGAGATCTTGTTTGCGTAGATTTTGTGAACAGACATGAGTCTGGTTTCACCTTTTTATTTTTCTTAGCACAAAAGCTAAATGATTTGCTGTTGCAATTCACAGTTTTCTCTCTCTCTCTCTCTCTCTATATATATATATATTTTTACAGATAGAAGAAGACTTGAGAGACTCCTTAATGTGGAATCAATGATGCCTACCCCCCAAGATCCAGAGCGCTTCAGTTTCTGGGTACTCTTACTATTGGCGTTCGATCTATTCAGGATTTTTAATAAAATTTTGTTTGAGTATTAATATATGCTTGGCTGCAGCTTGCTACTTTATCTGATCGGAGACCTCCAGAAAGGTTGGACCTGCTTCGCATCAGGGATTCAGCAGAGGTATTGAACCTCTACTAAGTTATTGGGATACTGCAGATGCATTGTATCTGGTGTAGCATAATTCGTTGCAAGTAAATATACTTTTTGTAATATTATGTGCATCTAAATATAAAACGCCATGTAATTGGATTTTCAATAGCCTGAAAAGGTTCCACTTATTCTGTTGTCGACACCAGGAGATAAGAATCTTAGTAGCATAATCTAAAGCTTATTACTACTAGCACATAATTATTCCAGTGAAGAAATGTGAAATATCTGTATCTTAACAAATTGTTGGTGTTGTTGTTGAGTATGGATACATTAGAAAGCTAATTATATGGAAATTGGCTTATTAGTTGATGCTTTATTTTTATTTTTTAAAATTACTCTTCACTGCAGAAAATTTAGGATGCCATTTTTGTGTTTACTTGATTATATAATTGTTTTTATTTTTATATATGATATTTATTGCAGAGGATAAGACGTGGGCTAATATATCTCAGAGCAGAAGAACAGGGATGTAGAGTGCAGTAAGAAGAGATAATTTTGATGTAGTTCTATAAACAGATTTATTTACCTGTTAATTTAATATTCTTTGAACCACAAAGTAAAGATTAATGTGGTTCCCTGTTTCATTGTTGTAATACTTAAAGAAGAGCTTATTGAGATTAATAGAAACACATTTTTGCTGGCATTACCTTCTCCTTCAAGGTTTCTATTTTCTTGATATATTTTACCAGTACAAGTTACTGTATTATGGTGTCATTGTGTTGCTAATATATAATTGAACATATATATAATAAGCCTACTGCAGAAGTTGCTATAAATTGTTTGGTGGTTGGTTGTATTGGATACCTGTCTTTTTTGGTTAAAGTCGATATATATTCATATCAATGAAGTAGTTCTCTCCCTGTTCCAATTTAAATCCTGAGACAGATGTAAGGTGCGGATGCCAGACCTGGGCTGTTCTCATTTAGGTTTATTTTTTTAGTATGACGGGTAGTTATATATATATTGTAGGCTTTTAAAATTCTCTGTTGATTATATATTTTTTTTTCAGGTCAACAACAAGCTTGTTTTGTCGTTTCGTATATTATGTTATCCTTAACTCGAAGGTGTTTTCTTGGTAGGTGTTTTGATTGATTTAAAAGCACTTTTCCAGGAACTGCGTTGCAACTTTGTTTTGGGTATGTCTCTTTTTTTTTTTTTTTAACTATTTTTTAAAAAAAATTTGTTTCTCCAGCATTTTGAAGAATATATTTCTTTATTAAAAAAGTCAAAGCGTACTTCTGTTTATATTTGGAAAAATATCCGGCTACAACAGTTGATGATGTAAAAGACATATTATGTGTATTTAAAAAAAATAATAGCTTAATACTCTGAAAGCTGGAGGATTAAACTTTTGTTTTTTCATATTTGTCCGTTGTTGGAAACCACTTATAACAGAAGTCATCTTTTGTTTTGGTATGATCTGAAGTCCAAAGATTACGATGATAGAATCTCCATCTTGGCAGAGTTTGAAAAGTGCAGTCGTTATTTTTCTTTCCCCAATAACAGAGGGAGAGAGAGGTGAATCAAAAAGAAGCAGAAGGTGTTGGGATGGTAGTTGGTGGTTAGAAATAGTGATAAAAAGTAGAGACTCTTTTGGGGCCCAACGCATAGCTCGCTCTCTCTTTTTATCAATTTGTTTTTTTTTACCATTTCTTCTCCTTCCTCTTTCGCCAAAATAGACAATACACACATACACCCACACACAAACAAAATAACTAACTATATAAATGAGGAAAAAACACACACACACACAGAGGACATACAACTCTCCACGTCTTTTCCCTACATGCCTCCCACAACAAATATTCCTCTCCCCCTTTCTCTACGTGTTTTAAGATTAACCCATATCCACCCCTCGAAAAAATAAATAAATAAAAAAGATCAATCCATTTCTGTCTCTACATACACACGTACGTACACTTTCTTCTTCCTCCTCCTCCAGGGAAGACAGTCATGTCTGATCCTCCTCCTCCACCACACCCGCCAAGCTGACTCTGATTTCCCTTCCACCTTCTAATGGGAGGAGAGAATCATTGGCCATCAAGGCCTCGACCTATCTCCTCCCTCACCACCTTTCTTTCCCTTCCCCTCTTTCTCCATCTCCTCTTCTTTTTCTCCAACCTTGTCAACTTTTCCTCTGCAAAGGGTATCAATAAACCTCCTCCCTCTTCTCTCCCTCTCCCTCCTTCCCTATCTCCTTCTCCTTCTCCTTCTCCTTCTCCTTCTCCTGCCCCGTTCTTCCGACCTCACGATAACTATCTCATCGACTGCGGCTCCCCCCAACACACCAAACTTCCTGATGGAAGAACCTTCAAATCTGATGCTGAATCAGTTTCTTTCTTACAAACCGCTGAAGATGTCCAGTGTGCGGTTGATTCCATTTCCCCCAATATCTCATCTCTGTCTCCTCCATCTGCGTTTTCTTTGTACCGAACTGCCAGGATCTTCCCTGTTGAATCTATCTACTCTTTTTACGTTTCGAAACCAGGCTACCACTGGGTTCGTCTCTACTTTTATCCTCTCCCTCACCCTCTTTACAATCTAACCTCCGCTGTTTTTAGTGTCTTCACTGATCACGTTGTCCTCCTTCGTGACTTCTCGGTTAATGACACTAGTTCTGTTGTTTTCAAGGAATATCTCATCTCTGCTACCGGCAGATTCTCCCTCTTTTTCGACCCCACAAAGGGCTCCTACGCCTTCGTCAATGCTATTGAGGTAGTCAGTGCTCCTGAAACTCTCATCTCTGAATCAGCATCTCTGGTTCCTCAAAGCAATATCAATGGCTTGAACAGAACTGCTCTTCAAGTGTATTACAGGTTAAACGTTGGAGGCCAATTAATCAGCCCTAAAAATGATACGTTAACCAGGACGTGGTTTCCTGATGAGGAAATTAATGTTTTTCTACAAGGAGCTCTCAATGCGAGTGTCTCACCCACCACCATCAAATATCCGTCTGCCAAAGGAGGAGCTACTCCTGTCATTGCTCCTAGTTTGGTTTATGCAACAGCGGAACAGATGATGGAAGCTCAAGTCATGAACCCCAATTTCAATCTTACGTGGATTATGAGTGTTGATCCTGGTTATGATTATTTGATCAGATTGCATTTCTGTGACATTGTCAGTAAAAGCCTTAACGATTTGGTGTTCAACGTGTATATCAATGGCTTGGCGGGGATGCTACCTCTTGATCTCTCAAAGCTCACCAGTGAACTTTCCACTGCGTATTATGCAGATTTTGTGCTGAATTCATCTGCCATTACAAACGGTTCTATCATGGTTCAGGTTGGTCCTGCTCCGAATGGTCCAGCAGGGAAGGCTAATGCGATTCTCAACGGATTGGAGGTGATGAAGATGAACAACATAGCAGGGAGTCTAGATGGTCTTCTTGACATCCATGGGGAGTACCACGGGCCTGGAGAAGTATCAAGAAAAATGAGGCTAGTTGCGTGGATTGGACTGGGAATGGGGATGATGGCATTGTTGGGTCTTCTTCTGGTTTTTGTTAGGTGGCATAGGAGGCCTAAAGATTGGCAGAAGCAAAATAGCTTCTCCTCATGGCTCCTCCCTCTTCATTCTACTCGTACTAGCTTCTTGTACAGCCTTAGCAGCTCTCGCAGGTCAGGCATTTTTAGCTCAAGGAAAAGCAAGAGCTACTCTAGCGTCTTCTGCAATCAGGGTTTTGGTAGATTCTTCACTTTCCACGAATTGCAAACCGCCACACAGAATTTTAATGAGAAGGAAGTGATTGGTGTTGGTGGGTTTGGCAAAGTTTATCTTGGAACTTTAGAGGACGGAAAGAAGGTTGCCATCAAGAGAGGCAGCGCAGGTTCGGAGCAAGGCATCAATGAATTCCAGACAGAGATTCAGATGCTGTCTAAACTCAGACATAGACATTTAGTATCACTTATTGGCTTCTGTGATGAGCGCCAAGAAATGATTCTTGTTTACGAGTACATGGCAAACGGTCCTCTCCGTGATCATCTATATGGAACCGACACGAAAAAGCCTACTTTGTCATGGAAACAAAGACTTGAAATTTGCATAGGAGCAGCTCGCGGGCTTCATTATCTCCACACGGGTGCTGCACAAGGGATCATTCACCGTGATGTGAAGACTACAAACATCCTTCTTGACGAGAATCTTGTTGCGAAAATGTCTGATTTTGGGTTATCAAAAGCAGCAGCCATTGATCAAGGGCATGTAAGCACAGCTGTGAAAGGTAGCTTTGGGTACTTAGACCCAGAATACTTCAGAAGACAACAGCTGACTGAGAAATCAGATGTTTACTCATTTGGTGTAGTTCTTTTTGAGGTATTATGTGCAAGAGCTGTAATATTGCCAGGTTTACCCAGAGAGCAAGTTAGTTTGGCAGAGTGGGCAATGCAGATGCACAGAAAGGGATCACTTGAGAAGATAATCGATCCAAAAATCTCCGAAACAATCAGTCATGGATCGTTGAAGAAATACGTGGAGGCTGCAGAGAAATGTTTGGCGGAACAAGGTGTTGATAGGCCATCCATGGGAGATGTGTTGTGGAACTTGGAATATGCATTGCAGCTTCAGGAGGTTTCAACTCAGATTGATCAAACAGAAGATAAAAGTACTGTAAATCTCATTGCTTTCGAGGAGAAGAAGATCGAAAATGAGGTGTTGGACACGAGTGTTTCTTCGGTCAGGGATGATTCTCAAGTATCTTCTAGTCCATTGTTCTCTCAGATTGCCAATTTCCAGGCAAGATGAAAACTAAAAAAAGAAACAAGTTAGCGATGTTCATAGAGAAGTCCAATGGATTGAGTCGAAGCGAAGAATGGGGAACTGGAGATTCTTTATATACTTGATTGTTTTTAGATTTTGTTTTGCAGATTCAACTTTTTTATTTGATTTTTTTATAAAAAATTTTCCTTAATTTTTGCTCTTGGGATTTGTTTTTTGTTTTTTTTTTTCTTTTGATATGTTAATCAAAGGTTGTTGGTTAGTAAAGAAAGCTATTCATCACTTCATATTAACATCTCTGTAATGAATTTCTTCTGTTCTCTTCTTATATTTTACTGACAGAATAACACCTCTAACAGTAGACCATAACCACCCCCAGATCATTACATCTTAAATATATCTTAAACATGAATTAGTATTTACAAACAAAATTTAAAATGAATTAGATTGATGGGTTATATTTAATCTTTAAAATTATCAGGAAAGAGTTTAAATCTCAATAAACTAAACTTGAACTCTCTTTGGTTAAATGTTACTAAGAAATTTAATGGGTAAACGCAAAAGATGAAAATGAAAACAAAAATTCCTGTTAATTTATTTCTATCTTAATGAAATTTGTAATTCTGAATGTAAATTATTTAGAAAATGATGATTAGATCTCACAATTTTACTATCCTTTTTTTTTTATTATTATTTTATAAAAAGTCTTAAGTAAATAACAAAAGTATATTAAAAAAATTTAAAAAAAAAAAAAAACAAATGCAGACATCTCTTCTCTGCCCAAAGTAACAAGGAAAAACGCAGAGTTTGTAGAGTTTTGTTTCAGAGCCAGAGACTACCACGGGAAGAAGACCCAATCATGGGGGAATGCCAAATTATATTAGACGACGAAGATTGGAAGAAGCTGCCGACACACGTGGCCCTTCGCCATTCATCTTCCAAATCGGAAAATCAACTTCAAGAACAATCACAACAACAGAAATGGTCCATGGTTGTAATCAGAGACTGCCTCCCAAACCACGACGACGATTTGTCCATCTTCCCTCCAATCCACCATGAAAACCTCCATGTCCTTTCTTCGTCTTCCTCCTCCTCCTCCTCTTCCTCACTCTGGTGCACTCAAACCCAGCATTCTCCATCGCCATCTTACCCCACTTTCTTATTCGCAGCTCCCGACTCCGATCACGATCCGCAGTTTTCCTCAATACCCTCTGATTCCATGGTCCCGGTGGTTGGCGACGGGGTCAACGGCTGGTGGAATGTTTTGCGTCTCAAAATGTTAAATATTGTCTCCTGGTTTCTGGGCTGTAAAAGGGGTCGTAGCAGAAGGACATTTTGGTCGTCGTACCCGGCCATCGGCGTGGCCGCGTTGGTCTTATGGTGGTGGGTGTGCGCCAGAGTTCGACGACGGCGGAGGAAGCGGGAGAGTGTAGATCGTTTGAAACTGATGATCAAAGAGAAAGACGAGGTTTGTTTTTATCACTGTTTGGTGAAAATCTTTAACCTGAATATGGTTTTAAGGTGTTTGTGAAAATGCCAAAAAGAAAAACTCAAAAATGTCTTTTTTTCTTCTTTGAAATTTTTCGTCTTTTGCTTGTGCAGAAGATTATGCAGCTATTGAATCAAATCGCTCAAATGAATGAAGTATTAGTGGCCCGTCACAGAGTCCTTACTTCAAAGAATTAAGCAGAGGAGCCATGGCATTGGACTTAATCTTCCAAGGCTATGGAGGTTGACGGCAAGCCGCAATCACCGCCCAGTTTTGGAGTTTGGAGCTGGAGCTCTCCGGGGAGTCAGAGCTGATTGAATCATCCCACGTGGGTATTGTTGCTATGGGCTTCTGGCACTCCAGGGGCATTTAATTCCTTATACGTTAGTTTTTTTCATAGGAAATTTCTTTGCAAATCCATCAAGAAGCATTAGTTAGCATATAATCTATGAATTACATGGAAGAGAAATTATACTAGGATTCCCCAGATGTTATTTGTTGGTGATATGTGTAGATTGAGATCAGTTAATGAAAGGGTTGTCGGGTTGAATGGAGAAATTCCTAACTTATCCAAAAAATTTTAGTATGTGATAACATGCGCCCAGACTTCATCCAATCTAATGAGTGTTATGAACAAATTGATGTTCTGCATTTTGAGCTTCTAAGAATTGAAAATCAACATTGGGAAATGATCCCATTAAGCAATAGTGATTGCCACCTATTTTGGACATCCCCGTTTAGAAAAAAATGAAGTAGAAGATATTACATAACTTTATAAATAAAAGTTCAAAGCTATCATGGTATCGTCCTCCATCCCAGAAGGTCTATTTTCACTGTTGAGTTTAAAACAAAGGCTATTTTCAAATAGTAAAATGTTTTTTAAAAAAGAAAAAGAATAAAAGAGCCAATTAACTACACACTCGTTATGTCTTTATGTTTGGTAAGTAGAACAACACAAACAGTGTAAAATCTACCCAGTAAATCATGAAACTCCAATCCATAATTGTTATAGATAATATTTATAGGATTACTATGAAACACCAAATCAACCAAATTAACAGCCTTCCATTTCAATCTCCAAACTCTAATTTGCTAATGCTCTTCTCAACAGCTGAAACCAATCCTCTCAATTATCTTTTCACTTTAGAATGATCTGCCCTAGAAATAAAATTCCCAGCATCTAAGATTCTGTTCACTCGCTCCCAAAGGATGCGAGAACCATGCTGGTCAACACTTCCATCTACATTCAATTTCACCTAATTCTGCGAAGGAACTTGCACAATTTAATGACTTGAACAACATACAGATTAATCACTTGATAATTCAGACTTCACTCACCATAACAAATACACAACTTTCAATCTATTCTTTTATAATGACAAACTTCAGGAAGCAGAAATTTTACAAAAGCCTTGATACCCAAATATTCAATCCATAATAGTCATCCATTCCCTAGATTGAAATGGAGAATCCTGCCTGCCTGACATCAAATATTGTCACCTAGGCTTCCAGCCTTGCTCCACATGCACATGAAACAAGATCACCAAAATACACTGCATCATCACTTAAACCAGACATACATGCAATCATCATGAGACACTTTTTGCTTCTCAAGTCAAAGCTTTGAATAAACAAAACAGCTTATGCTAGAGTGTGCTGAATTTAACTAAACGCTCTATATCTAATCAAATCACCAATCATATGAGGAAACAAGTTGACATCCATAACTTTACTATCATCTCATGTGCGTCATGCTTAGACAACCTGATAACGGCAAAATTACATATTGTGTGCACCCATGAGAGCTTACTGCTAGTATACATATCTCAAGCAGGAAGGAAAAAGAACAAGAGACCACATACATAGCTGTCAAACTATGAGGTCATGATACAGTAAGCATTACGTCAGTTACAATGTACCAAGTCATAAGCAGGTAACTCAAACACACTTACATCTATCAAACATAAAACAGATATTGTAGATTGGTTCCCAAAGGACTCTAGCAAAAATATAGCCATGAGTCACCTCATTCGATCTTTATGCCAGAGCTTGGTACTCCAGCAAATACACAACTCCCATCCATGTTTTCTGTTTTATCAAATCCTTGAACGTTCATAACAGGATCAAAGGTGGAAAATGACTCCTGATGTCAAGAGCAACAACCCAATAAAGAAGATCCCAATTCTAGTACTCTAGTTAAAGTCTAGAAAACTGCTAAATATTAGATAGTAACATTATTAACACATAAAACTCAGATAATCTATATACTAAAAGAGTAAATATGTGTTCAACCCCTGTAAAATTAGAGGGAACTAAAGGAAAGACCAAACTATCAAAGAGCTGGTTATGAATTTCCTTTATAATAAATTACCAGGACATGTTGTAAAAACAAGTCAATGAAAGAATTCTTATAGTCTGTTCTCAAGAGCAGTACAGGACAACAGATGAAACAAAAATTACTTCTAAACGTGAAACTGTTATCAAATCTCAATCTGCTTTTCAACTGAGAAATTGCATTACCTATAGACACACCAAATATGTTTCTCACTCACTAGCTATGTGATTCACTTTTCCCAATTGTTGATAGGCGAATATCAAACTTCTCTACAGACTCCAATGGAGTGGTTGTCTCATTCCTGATCCTTTTAATCTTGGGACTCAACAACCCCCTGTGCCCAAACCCATAGAGTTTAAGCACCTGATTATCTGCAAAATTGAAAGCCCTCTCCATGCTCTTCAAGCACCTCTCTACTGCATAATCTGCATAGCTTCCGCAAGGCTTGCAACCAACAAAATGAGTGACAAAAGGCCACCTCTCATCCCCCAGTCCTGGATGATACTTCTCTAACATTTCCTCATACCTATCTACCAATCCCTCCCAGAAACCATGCAGATAGTACTGATTTTCGACAAACACCTTGTCCATCCACTGATCCTTCTGTGAAAGCAGCAAGTAAATAAGTGCAGACTGATCATCAGCCTCAAAAGCCGGTCTCCCCTTCAAATTTGCAGTCAAAATCCTCCCAGCCTCCTCTCGGATTGGACCCTTTGGCCCCATTGGTGCCCATGCATCCAACAAATCCAATGACCACTGGCAATTTCTAAACAGAAAACTCCCCGTGTTCAAAGCAATCCATGACTTTTGTTCGAATAGCAAGTCAGGATACCCATGGATAACTAAGTTATAGTTACTGTATTTTGCTAAGGGGATCTCAAAAACCATATCAGTAAACAAGGCATCACTGTCCATCCACCAAATCCACTCTACCTCCGGGTGAGACAACATCAACTTCCTAATCAAAGGCAGCTTTGCCCAATACCCGGCAAGCTCCTTATCCAAATGGGCCAAGTTATACACAATTTCTATCCCATGAAGCCTACAGTAGTCAATCTTATTCTTAACCGATTTCAACAAATAATGATCCCCAATTGGATTATCACAAGGTTTTGGGGGCGATCCAGTAACGAGGAGAATCCTAGCTTTGCCGTTGATAAAGTTAGGGAACTCAGGGTTTTGGCTCAGCCATACCTTGCGTTCCTCATCCCAATTAGTGATCTTCGGACCCAGTGTATAGGTGATGTTGGGGTTGATCTCGGACTCGGCAAGTTCATCAGGGTCGTTGGGGTCGGAATCCGATCGAATCTCCGCGAGGATCCGGTTTGTCTCCTCTATAAGATTCTGATTGATAACGTCGGCGTCGGAGCTTCCTAGATTTCCGACGCCGATGGTGCCGCGGAGGACAAGGATGGTAACAAATCCGCAGAGAATCGTGATCTTGATATTGTTGAAAGTCTTATGGATCTGTCTTCCACGCGACATTACTCCAATCCCACGGCCCCTTACGCCATTAGCGGTGGTGGTTGGCAAGCCGGCGGCGCCACCGCCCGACGAGGCTCTTTTCTGGGCCGTGAAATTCTCTTGACCCATAACTAAACTTCACCCTCCGTTTCAGTGGAATTGAATGGTTTACAGAGAGAGATCCGGGTAGTGCAAATCCCTCTCTTTGTAAGGGATAAGACTCGGCTAAGCTGAGATCATGAGGAAGGAGAAACGGGTTTAGCAGGTTTAGGAGTATGTATTGATATAGCTCTGCATCGTGTGATTTTGGGGGGTATATATTTGTAAAAGAAACAAGAAATGGATCTGCTTTGTTGGATGGGGGAGATGAAGGGAAGAGTTAAACCCTAGAATTGGATTAAGGGGGGTGGTGTTCTCGTCATGTGTGGAAGGGCAGCTTCAGGGAAGGGAGTTGCTGGAGCAGACAAGTGTCTAATCACCGACTGTTTAGGGTGGTTTTAATTATTTGTTTATTTATCTTAAATGAAGGTTTAAAATTATTAATTTATTTTTACATTATAAGTAAATAATGATCATGGTAATTAAATTATAATTAGTAAGGCACGAGATGGGACCCACCAATCCAGTTTCTGTGAGGATACACAGAACGCACAGCTAAGAAAAGGTAATTAACGTGTTGATTTTCTCTCAAAACAAACATTAACGTGTTGATTTGTTGAGTTAGTTGTAAGAATAAGAAAGATCGTGGTTCGCCACTTTCTTTTTTTTGAAGAGAAAATCTGATTTGATTTTTGTGAAAAAAATAATTGAATAATTTTTGTATTACGGTATTAAAAAATTTATGAGAAAAAAATAAAATAATTTAATTTAAATTTAAAGCCCAATAATAATTTATGGCATGTGAGTGTGTTTGCTCGTCTCCATGTGCCGGGTGGTCTCCACTCACTTATTTGCAAATGCTTTCGTCTTTTCTGTTTCCATTTTTTGGGGCACCAAAATGAATTTCTCGTTGGCTACTTATATTTAATCCATGACAGATTATATTAATCAACAAAAGTTATAATTCTTTTCAATCTACCTCTAGTTCTCATCTTAATTTATGTGATTTATGCTTTAGGTTTGTCAGCAATACACTCTAAAAGATAAAAACTCTTCTCGCTTCTTTATTGGCTTAACGTCACTAGTTATCGATAGATCGATTGAGTAACAAAGAGTTGATGAATTGTAACACGTACATAATACGCACTGAAATATAAAAATAATAATTTAATCTGATCTATTTATATTTAAAAATTATATTATAATTTAAAAATTAAATTTAAAACATAATTAACAGCGAATTATCAAATTAAAATTACTCAAAAATATAAATACTTTAAAATTAATATTTAATGTTCAACTCTTTAATTAATAAAAAGTACAGATAAATTAAATAATATAAATATGTAAAAAAAATTTAACAAAATTTTAATAGAGAATTCAAGGATCTTTCTTTTTAATGTAGGGCTGATCTTTTAATTCTTTTCAGTCTCTTTTCGAAAACCCCACACAAATATATATATATATATCATATATCATATATATATATATATATATATATAGGTGGCATGGCTGGAGGAGTTCCTTTTAGACTCATCCATTTTCCTTTTTTTTTAAATTATTTAACACCTAAGTATTTACATATATATCTCATATATATATATATATATTTATCCTTTTTAATTATTATTATTTAATAAAATAACTTTATAAACTAATTTAATTTCAAATTAAATTTTATAATAATTTCAATTATTATAATAACTACGCATATTATATTATTACACTAATAATATAATAATTAAAATATAAATATTAATTTTTTATTTTAAAAATAAAAAATTTAATTTGTTTATAATATTAATTATATTCTCGGTGCTAGTAAATAATATAATAATATTTTATTTAGATTAAAAATTTTATTTATTTGATTAAATTAAATTTTCTAATTTAATTCTCAAATAATTAAAATAATTAATATATTTAACAAAAGTTAAAACACTCATTAGTGTGCGACCTCATAAGTTCAACACTAAATCGGTAACAAATTGGTCAAATCAATTTACTAATTAAGGTTGGCATCTAGCAACACTTCTCAACGACCGGATAATATGAAATGTATAATTACTCTCAAGAACCTACTAAAGAAATATGTAATATTTTCTTCAGTCATTATTGCTTTGAATTAACCCTAAAATATGATTTAACCGTCAAATCCCAATAAATAACCAATTATGTTTCATGTCAATTATAATTGACTAATGAATGACATAAAAAACTTTTTTCTTCTTTCATTCAACTGCCCTGACCAAAGTTTTAATTTATTTATTATAATAAATGACAACATAGAGCTTAAACTTATTACCTAAATTGACAGATTCCGTCTTGACCAATTATTAATTTTACAAGCATTTAATCACACTCAATATCTTTGTTATGTGACCATAGGTGTTCAAAATTAAAGTATAATAAATGACTAATCAATTACCATGATGATTTCAAGTCTAAGAAAATTTGTACATCTTATCAAAATAAGAGAATACTCTATTAACAGTTTAAGATAATATTAACCATTAGAAATTCTAAATTGGGTTAGTTCAATGATCATATCTCCATATGCATCATCTATATATGTGATTTAATTAATGAGATCAACTAATCTTTATCTTATAAAGACTATTACATATATATTAGTCTTACCGGATCATTAATGTCCCATTTTGATGATCAAACAACTAAGAACATTTTAAATCAAATTATAAAAAGTTTTACTCTCATTATCAAGATCCCCATCTTGATATAAAACTTACAAATTTAATTAAGAACTTTATCACATAAATTAAACGATATGATAATAAAATATTATTGCTATATATTAAAATAAATTGTCAAATAATAATGTATTCAATATATTACACGAATAATTGGATTGTAGATATAACACTTATATCCCCAACAAGAAGAACTTCGAAAGACATGGCCTCATCCTATAGTTTTATGCCCTTCTCAAACTCCCCCTGTTTTACTTTAATTATGAGTACATTATAAACTACCCCATCCACCCAATGAGATTCTTCCTATATGCTCAAATAGCTCAACTCCTCAAGAGCTATATTTATCTTGTCAACTCTATATAAGATAAAATTCAAATTATAGTAAAACTTACAATTAAGAATAATTCATCCTCAATCATCTCTTGTCATTGTTTTGTTACCTTTGGTGAATGACCTTGTCAAATACAAAACTCACAACAATATAATGGTTCATTCACTCTAAAACACAATGTGACTTTTTCATCTACTCAATAACTTAAATTGATTCCTTGACTCTTCTAGTATCTATGGACGTGGGTGCAATTTTGTATAACCTTATTTCTATCATCACATTCAAAGTTTCAAGAACAAAGCCTGATGGATTTCCTGTAAGATTTTTCTTACAAAGGCACCTAACAAATGAGTTGTATTAGAGCAAATTTGGTATGACAACCATTGACTTAAACTCTTGGATGACATTTTTTGCTTTTTTGACATTCACTTAGACCTTTATACAAAAGACTTCTATAAACACATGGTTCAATGCTAAATAACTCTTACTGCTATCTTAGCATGTTATTTGGTGGAAAGAGTACTACTTATTACAGTCACTATGAAACACTTAAAATTGTCTAAGTTCTTGAAAAAACTAAATGCATCGTCTTCTCTCCTCAGTTTAATGAAATTCTCGATTACAAGATTGAAATATTATTCTTCATTACTCGAACTTCTTTCGAAACTTGAATATTAATATTTTTATAGTTGTATGCTTCTTTTTAACTGTCTGATTGAATTTTTTATATTCTAAAATATATTTTACATTCTTTCACGACCACAAGAAAAACCTCAATATTCTTTTCGTAAGCTCTTCGTGTTTATAAAAATCAATTCTTGAATAGAGATGAACATGAGGGCGACTGACCTATTAACTTACCCAAACTTACCTTAAATTATATGGGTAAAATTCATAATTAACGGAGAAATAGATGAATATAGATAGAAAGTTATAAACTCGAAACATATACAATGTGGATATAGATTTAATGATTTACTTGCCACATACCCTGTAACACCTTGCTTTTTTTTTCTTTCAGCGGTGTTATCTCAATTATATTAGCATACAGAATATTCGTATCTCATTTCAAATCAATCATACACATAAAGTAAATACTGAAAACCAATTACTCGATTTTTAAAAAAAATTCTCAACTGTGGACGTATCAATATAGTAGCTTACGAATTTCATAAATCCTTATTTTTACACATGAGGTACATTGCTACTAAATATGTAATTATCCCGTTTTACTAGTCGTAAACTCTGCTCCATTTTCTCTATACATTAGGTTCAGAAACCTACAACTTCGCTCCAGTCTTCAGTCCTACTTCATCTGTAATTGATAGGGAATGAGTACAACTCAGCACAGTAAATTTAAATCACAAAAATAGCATGGAAACCCAATTAAAAACTCATTCCTTTATGTTTTCCCTTTCTGTTATATTGGCCATGCATTCTTTTCTACCCACAACCCCTACTACTACTCATCTAACTCTACTGTAACTACTACATCTCTTTGATGATAAATTGTCAATTATACTAGGTGTAGTCACCCCATGATACCACCCCCTCAGCCCTAACTCGGCCACTCACCCACATTGTTACCCTCATCGGTCACTAATATCGGCGACCCTTTTTTTCTTTTCCACCACTCGACCTCTAGCTGGCCACCCACACACACACCGTTACTGTTTTCTTTCGTCACCAACATCAGCAACTCATCTCGTTACGTATATGGCAACCCCCAAATATCACGAGTATTGGCGATCGAGTTACCCTTTTTAAGTGACGACAACCAATATCGGCGTCCCAATCTCGACCACCATTAATGCAACCTCACCCCATCCCTACTCAATATGCGACACATACCTGCATACTTAACCCACACGCCAGTCATTTCAATTTTAGTTATTGTCAAACAACCCACATTTCTATGCAGTTTTCAAATTTACAAGCATAGTTACATATTATACACCAATACACATCCACACAAATATACACACACACACAACCTTTACATGCACCCGCTCACTCTTTGCTAACCTTCATCCCAATCCTCTTTCTCTTCCACTCACTTCACCCCTCACCACACTTGACTGCCACTGCCACTCTTTCCAACCATTCCCGCTCTCAGTCCCTCTCTTCCCTCCTCTCTGTGTTCTTCGGCTCACAACAGTCTTCTCTTTATTACTATCCACTCACCTCATCCTGTTAAAAAAATTAATAAAGTTCTTATTTTATTTTTAATTCAACTTAAATCAATTAAATTTTAATTAGTAATTTTTTAATATTGTATAGTTATAATGTTATTTTATATTTATTATTGAGTATTATGTGTAAATATTATTTTAATTTATATTTTATTTTGATTAGAATTTAAGATTTTTACTTAAAAATAATTTAAATATATTATAAATTTTTTTAAAATAAAACAACAAGTAAATAAAACTATTATCTGATAAAAAATTTTACTTATGAGGTAAGTGATGGATAAAAATTTTTCTAACTTGTATCGAATATATGTTTATATTTTTATTCTATACCTATTTTATAATATCTCTAGATTTGAGGGGAAAAAAATATATATATAAACTTGATTTAGACTCAGACTGCAGATTATGTAGACCAACAGTCAAGTTTGAAAAAAAAAAAAAGATATTATTTTGCAGATTAAAAAAAAAAAAAAAAGAAAATGACGAATGTTTTGGTTTCAAAATTGATAGTTAGCAACAAAAGCCATATTATTTTGTTCTCAGAAAGATATGCATACACTTTTAGTAAATTCATTGAACAATTAATACATATTACTTCGGCACTGGACAATTCATGATTGATAGGAGCATACAATCATCACAAAACAAAGAAATTGATAGGTGCCTAACATTTTTACTGCTTTGTTGATGAATTACGAACAGAGAAAGACTTGATTGATAAGAGTAATAATTTTATTAGATAACATCTCCCACCTCTCTTATTTTGAACAAAGAGCTCTTAAAATTTTAAATTGTATAAAAAATTGATTATATTTTTATTTAGAAATTAAGAAAATATATATATATATATATATATATATTTGAAGAGAAAATAAAAAAGAATTTTATGTTTTTTAAAGGAACAATCCTTTATTCCTAAAGATCAAATATTATATATATTATTATTAATTTTGTCATCCCCATTAAATAGTTTTTTAAAATTAAAAAAAAATGATAATCATTTAAAATATTTTTAAAGAACCAAAAACTCCTCCAATAGAAGAATGTGGGTCCTTGAGAAATCTTAAATAAAATTAATTAGTTAAAATAGAAAGAAAAAATAAATAAAACAAGAGGTAGTTGACGCTTAGAGGCGGCCAAGCTAATAACTGTCGTGCAACGTCGTCGCTTCGGTCCCGGTCTCTTCAATAATCTATATGAGAAGGAAATACCGGATAACGACAAATTACAGGGTAATTTAAGCGATATCTTCGGGGCATTACCGTAAATTCACTATCCCCGTTAATATGGACGCCACCCGCGAATCCAAGGCCTCTCAAAATCTCTGTTTCATATCGTCAGATTCACTCAACTCTCCCTGGTTCTTCGATCGTTCGCCGTCAATCTCTTCTCCTCCGATCGATTATCGGTAAAATTTATCGTCTCCTGTGTATGCAACACTCATCTGCCTAAAATGCATTATTTAATAACATGCCAGACGATCAAGATTGTGTGTTGATTGTATCAATATAAGTTTTTCTTCTTTCTTCTTTTGAGTTAGTTTTTCATCGTTGATTAGGGATTGTTCTGCGACCGATCGAAGAAGCTCGGTTGAGTTGGTGATTCTTGACACGATGAGTCACGTTTTCGAGGGCTACGAGCGTCAATATTGTGAACTCTCTGCCAATTTATCGCGGAAATGCACGTCCTCCGGGCTCCTCAATGGAGGTATTGACAGATGGCTTATCTCTCTTTCTCTTCTTCAATGTGGTTAAATGTATATGGTTGATGGTTGATTGTTGTTGAGTTTTCTTATTTGATTTTGTTTCCGAATAATCGTTGTACGTTGGTGAATGGTGTTTTGAATGGATCGTATCTCCTGCTCGTGTTTAGCCGTCGTTAAGTTAAGAAAACCAGCTAAAGTGATGAAGCCAGTGTGAGAAATAGTGAAAGAGCGAATAGTATATAAGCATGGGTCTGAATTATTGTGGTTGCTACCTTGAATTGAGCTTTGACAAAAGTTTCATTCATTTATCTCAATCCTTCTAAGAGTAATTCACATGCTTCTCTGTTCAATAATTTTTCTTGTGTGTCAGGTTCCTTTTGCGTCATTCATTTACCTCAATTCTTAATTCACATGCTTCTCTGTTCAATACTTTTTCTCATGTGTCAGGTTCCTTTTTGCAATCCAATCGTTGATGTAAACATCTTGATTCTGCCCAAGGAGAATGATAATAATTCTTTTTGAAAAAAATATTTAGGATTTGAGAGAGCTTATCTCTATTTCATTTGTGTTTCCTGTTTACATCCGGCATCTCATACTAATATACTGTTTTTTGTTAATGTGGTTTCTTTTTCTGAGAGTGGACGGTAAGTTGGATTTTGTTGGTTCGAAAATGCACTTAAAACACACGTGTATTATTGTTGTAAAGGAAATTACTTGAGATTGTTTCAATCGATTTATATTTCATTCCTGTATGTAATGCTAGAGTACTTTATGTAGCATTATAAGAATCAATTTCATTCCTAAGTTCAGAATTGTAGGAGAAATCACTTTTGGATTATTTGCTATTTTATTACTTTATTTAATTACTAGAATTTCTTTACGTACATAAATTGAATTTGACATAATTTTTATGGTTGAATCAATTTTACTCTTAATTTTATTGTCGTGAGATGGCCTCTTACTTCTTACTTAATCAAATAGGAGCCAGGAATACATCCCAAATAAATATAAAACATGTGTGGAATTGAATCAAACATGAAAATTATGATCAAGTTCTACATTAAAAGGATATTTTAGAAATGAAGTAAAGAATACGATAGGAATTAAATTGGAGTTACAAAACGGCCATTACAATTTTTATGATTGTTCAAGTATTTCTTATTTATTTATTTATTTATATCATTTTTTATTATGAAATGATGTAGTCACTGGTAATGATTGCATGAATTCTGATTTGTAGAGCAGAAGAAGCAGAAAGTTTTTGAGATACAAGCTGGGTTGGATGATGCTGATGCTTTGGTATCATAGAAATTTAAGTTGTGCCACTAATTTCTATTCTTTTTTTTATGTTATTGCAATTATAGTTTGGTCTTTTTCCTAAATTCCTTTAGATTCGGAAAATGGACCTTGAGGCCAGGAGTTTGCAGCCAAATGTAAAGGCTGTGCTTCTTGCTAAGTTGAGAGAATATAAGACTGACCTAAACAATTTGAAAAATGAAGTTAAAAGAATCACATCAGGTAATGCAAATCAAGCTGCCAGAGATGAGTTGTTAGAGTCTGGAATGGCAGATGCATTGTCGGTATGTATATCTTGCCTGTTGTGCACCTATCCCTTTTTTTTCCTGGTTATTGTTGTAAACCACCATTCATCTGACCTTGCTTTACTATGTTATGCATACTTGTACATTCCTCTTTACACCTCCAAGAAAATAAATCCCTGGCTCTTTTCACAAAAAGAAGGTGGCCCAGAATGGCATTGTTAGTCTGACCTCAGTTGGTTGTTGGTTTACTTATCTATTTATTTTTTTAATTGAAAGAGATGTTCCATTAAACATAACTTGTATGTAATGTTTAACTTTGACTTCAAAGTTCTATCTGAATGTTTCTTGCAAATTCTAATCTTCCATATAAATACTCTCTACTCTCAGGCTGAATTGATTTCCTTGGTGTAGTTATTTATTTTCTTCACTTCCTGAGTTATTTTTTTATACGCTGCTGCTGGACTGTTTCATTATACAATTGATTCAAACAGCTATCTCACAACTTTTTTGGGTATGGTGGGAGGAGGGAGTGGCTGTCTCAGAAGCAACATAACCTATAGTTGAAAGAGAGAATGTCAAGCTGATTTTTTATTTTGGATTCTTATGAGCTGTCTGAATCTTATCAGTTGCTTGTGGTGCATTTTAAACATTTTTTAGAACATTTATGGATGAAACAATAGGTTTCTACGGATCAAAGAGGAAGATTGTTGATGTCAACTGAGAGGTTAAATCAATCCAGTAACAGAATCAAGGAGAGTAGAAGAACAATGCTGGAAACAGAGGAGCTTGGTGTCTCTATCCTCCAAGATTTGCATCAACAACGCCAAGCTCTACTACATGCCGATACTACTGTATGCAGTTTCTCATTTTCCTTTTCAATTTCTTCTAATGTTTTCTTGATGTTTTATGGCATAAAACGTTTGTTGCTTCTTCTACAGATTAATGTTTGGATTACAATTTGTTTATTTAATGTTTTACTTGACCACTGGAAGCTTCTGTTTTCTCTCTTGATCTCATCCTTACAATCAGCCATAACTGTGGATATGTTGTTTATGGCACATCATCCATGTTCCCATTTTTCACCATTCTAATTTTATGGCACAGCTTCATGGAGTGGATGACAATATCAGCAAAAGCAAGAAGATCCTGACAGCAATGTCGAGAAGAATGAATCGGAACAAATGGATTATAGGCTCAATTATCACTGTCCTGGTTGTTGCCATTCTTTTGATCCTTTATTTCAAGGTGATCCATTAGGCCTTGCTTGTGTGCAATGGAGTTGAAGCCAATTGTTCCCTCAAATGTCATCTGAAAAAAACCTGAATTGCTTGGATGTTGCTCATTGGTGTTTGAATTTTTGTCTTGCTTTGTGTTTCATATTGTGATTCACAATTGGTAACATAGCCATCCAAGAAGGAATTTGCTAATGTATCTTTTAACATATAGAGAA